TAACTTACTTCCTATCTTTCTTAAGATTATAAATGGATAGAGTAATCCGAAACAGAGACAGTTTTCATAACCATGAGACCTTTAAAATTGATTTTAGCTGTAGCTGCTGCTAAGCTTAAGAGCAAAACCGTAAATGATATAATAAAATAGATAAGAAACTCCTTCGGTAAATCATGAAAGATATAAGAGGCACAGTGTATTCGATATTGAATACCGTAGCAGGTGTCTACAATATGAAGGTAGTAAAGCTCCTGTTCTGTATAATAAGTGGATCATTTCGGCCTTCTTCCTTCTTTACTGGTTTAATTTTACGTACAATTTATACTCGAAGGTAACTTATTCAACAAAATTGAAATTTTGACTACTCATAAAGATCCACCTTTATACTTGAGTAAAATTTTGAGATTTATAATTCAGATCAGTATATATAACTCTACATATGTCTTTATTACTTTACGACAATCTTGCTTTGTGAACGTCAAGATACACTGAACGTAATATTAACTAATTACATGTTATGGAATAGTTGTAGATACTAACTAAAAAAGGTGTTTTGACATAAAATTACAGCATCACAGATATCGAAGATCAACGTGATCTGTCCAGAGTGTTTCTACATTTATTATTCACATCATAATGAGTTGCTTATTATGGTAGCCTTTAAATACATAATTTATATAAATCACTTCTTTCAAAAGGAACACAGTTAAAACCACTAAAGTTAAACTAATTCTGTTTATTATTTGTATTTAAATTATTTTTATGAAGGTATTATGGTTTTGTTAAATTAATAATCCACCATATCCTAGTACCTTAATGTTAAAAGTGACGATTTGTGAAATTTACCCAAATAAATTTTTGGTAAGTGATGATTTTTATTTGAGTTTGACATGACATGTATTTATTTCAACCATAAAGAAAAATGAAGAATTTTTGAGAATCACCTCGTTATACCATTTCTAACTCTGTTTGATCCGTTTAATTTTTTAAGTTCCTTAGTCATTGTAAAGAGTACAACCAAATCATGGCAAATACGTCATAGGACAGAACTGAAAATAAGACTATTAATTTGTGGTTAGTAAAGGGGAAAATAGAGAGCGCTAGAGAGGGGTGGGTTGATAAGCTGTAGAGGGGGTGGTAGAGAGGTTAGTACAGTCTACAGTCAGTATGTGACTGGCACTCGTCCAGTGATGGGACACCTTCCTACTGCAACTCACCTGACTATCACGTGACTAAACATGTGGATGACTACTGCATACGTCATCATACTGTGTGAGTATACTGTAGACGCACAAAAAATATATTTTTAGACCAAAAAATTGTAAATACACTGTATCACCGTGAGCCTATTGTATACAGTTTGAATTGCATAGGATATAAGAATGTAAAAACACTTAAAATATACATCATCGATTGCAATCTTCTTTTCGCGGTGTCATTAGAGTTCATGGCGTTTTTCACAACCCCGTTTGAGTAGTGACGTCGTGGTTGAAGCCGAAAAACACCATAAACTCTTATCATATATTGTTTCTTTATTACGTTCCGAAAAACTTTGTTAAAGCTGGAAAAGTTGTTATTCCCCCTAGAATAAAATTATTGCAAATCTTTGCAATGATTACTCATGATAAAATAGCTCACCTCACGCTTTGACCAATACACAGAATTTATCAAAACTTAAAATAAATAAAATTTATCCATAAATCTACGATGTTGCTACTTGTACGCCGTAACTTATAGTAGGTCTAAAGTAATCTGTCTCTACTCTGTAGTGTGTTATCACTGAAGTGGTTCATTGGGGGGTTTATTTGTATTTGAAAATCTCTACCAGAAAAATAATTTGCAGCATTTTTTAATCAAAGAGTTTAATATAGTTAAAAATTTAAAAATTAACATTAACTGAACGAGGCAATACATTTAACAGATAGAAAACATTTTAGGGAAATTGAGATGTTCAAGTGTGTTCGAAACATATTCAATGTTATTTATCCTACTATAAAATATTAGGTTAAAGTTGTTTTATTATTTCGACTTTGTCATAAATTATAAGTGAGACTATAGGTTTCCCAATACACAAAATACAATTTAAGCACAAACTTCAATATGAAATAGTGTTGTGGTAGAACAATCATGTGATAAAAAAAACTACAAATACATTTTAAATTTATACAATTTAATATGGAATTATTTGTACATACTTTAATCTTATAGCTTATTCAAAAAGTTCAATAAAATCGTGGGTAAGTAAGTATCAGTGATATCTTTAACTTTTAAAATGCTGTTTCAACGTTTTATTGAACATTTTATGTTCGTTCAAAGATGGCAATATCCTTTGCCTGTAAGATAAACTTGGGTAAATCTCAATTACAAATTTTAGTTAAGATCTATGAATTTCATATGTATCTACATTGAATCATGTGTCGAAGGGAAAACAGGCTAACGACTGATTTGATCAAAAGTTTTCTAAAATATTTGTGTCTTTCCTAGTAGTACTGTTTGGTTGCAAAAACTCAGATATTAACCTAAATAGGTATTGAAATATTGTACAAGAAGAAATTCTTTAGCATTAAGTTTTGCTAGGCTACGATATTTCATAATCTAACAGTGAAGTGTATTGATAATGTGTATCGAGCAGTCATGTGTATCAAATTACTACCTTTTTAAGCCAAACTCCGATGGAATAAAATTATAGAAACAATCTTACAAATCAATCAACATCCAAGTAAAAAACGCAAAATGTAAATAGATTTTTACGAAAAGAACTACTTCAAGCATACCGTAATTTCTTTGAAGTTGAGATTATGTAAATTAATTTGCCACAAAGCCTTTCAACTATTTAAGGTAAGTTCAAAGAAAATACGTATGCACGTTTTAACGCGAACTTCCTAGGCCGGGTAAATATTGTATGATGTTAATAGTGCACAAATTAAATTAAAATTCTATGAATATTACTAAAGATACAACAGTCAACCCTAGAAATCATTCATTTAACATACTGTTAGCCTCTTTGGAGTGAAGTAATAGCTATTTACATTACAAGTGTAGTAAGAGCGTTTTTACATCACGCAGGTGAAAGTTGTGCAACGAGCGAAGCGAGTTGCATAATTTACCTAAGTGATGTAAACACGCTCTTGCGTAACGTGTAACGTACAAGATTTTACCTGACCCGACAATATACAGGAGGTTACGAACAATATTTTTCATTACCCATTTCACTCATCTTATAACAGTAAGGTTCATTTACAAACAAAAGCTAGGTTAGGAAAATTCTCCAAAACATACCTAACAATAACAATAAAATTCAAGCACACAGCTGATTTCTAGCGTTAAACGTCGTTGGCTCCATAGAGTTATATTTTTTAAGTTATCCACTCAATGTTATTTAAATGGGTTTCATTACATCACCGAGTGAGTTTTTTGATACTTTACATCACTCGAGAAGTAAGGAAGTTGTATACATCACGCTTGGGATAGGGAAGTTTAACATGGCGGGTTAGGTAAAAGAATTTTGCAAGCTTCTTCTTCCGACGATGGTAAGTTATTATTGCAGAAGAGTTAACTATTTCAGGGAAAGTAGTCTATAACTTAAATACAATTTACAATAGGTGCCATGTAGTTTTACACGCATAATTATTTGAGAATATTTTACAAGTCAACTTTGTTAATTTAGACACCAAAATAGTATGTGCGAGATGGTTATTTTTGTTAAAACTATATGAATAAAGGAGTGTTTATTTCTAAGGTTTATCAAACCTTAGCATAATAATGTTTCATGTACAATAACCCATTATGGATGCGTATAACCAATGTACAGTAATATGTTTTACATCAAGCGGAGAGTGTATTACGTAAATTAATATAAGTAAAGAAACGTGGATGAAATTTATTAAACGATAATTTTGAGTTTATCTAAGATTAGTGATTTAAAGCCTTTAATTTGATACAGTCACTAGTAATTATAATTGTTCACGTTATCAAGTATTATCTAAAATTCAAAGTTATGTGTACAAGATTGACTACACTAAAAGGAATTTGGAATGACATTATAAGTAAGGAGTCCTATGCCTGATAGTGGTAAAAAATAAATATCATATACAATGAGGATGTTTTGTGACGTCTTTTGTGTCAGGTTTTTTCGTAAGAATAAAATGTCGGGGGGATGATAGTACACAAAATAAACTTTTTAGAATCCTATGTCCTATAATCAACATAGTTAGTAAAGGTAAAGTTACCAAGTACAAAATCGAGATGTAATTGTTAATCCACTCAAATATATATTATATATACTAGATGTACGTACAATCCAGTTGTCTGCTTGAAATATTGAGTGGAACCAATAGTTTTCCAAAGTCAATGCTACATCAGATTAACGTACATATGATGTATACTTGCAGTATTATAAGCTAATGCTAACTCTAGCTCACGTAATAGAGATGTCTCCTTACAGTATTCAAAGTCAATGGTTCATCTGGTTCTTATAAATTAAATGTCTACTTGCAGTACCCAAAATCAATGGTATGTTTGGTTCACATAAATGGCATGGCCATTTGGAGTACCGAAAGGAAATGGCACATTAGCCTAATACCGGCGAGCTTAATTGGTTATTCATTTTGTAGTTAATTAGGCACAGCGATATTAATCCGACATCATTATTGTTCTTTCCTTTTGTAGGCTACTGTATTTGTTATGTGCTAGTTCTGAAGATTCATTGGCTAACATATTATGTTACGACTATTTCGTTAACCTTTAATTGTTATTTTGCAAATAATTTAATGGTGGTCAATAAACCCATAAGGCCAAAGTTAAATTTATACAAATTTATATTCACGTAGAAAAAAGCGCTTTCGTTCGATTTGTACCTTATACCTTACGATAGTTAGTTACTAGGACTGCCAAAGTTATGCTACAGGAGTGTAGTATAAGAGCTTCACTCACTCAGCTCAATCGTTATGTTAACCATAAAAAATAGTAGGTATTGATGAAAATATTTTCCAGTAGTTAAGATGTTGACGATTACAACGTCGGACAACACAACCGTCTCCTCTACCTATACTTCCGCCTCCAACTCTACCTCTACTTCTACCTCCAGCCCAGAGAGTGTGGACGTGGAGTGCAAGGATCGCTCCTACCTGGACAACTGTCTCAAGAAGTTGCCTCCCATCCTGGAGAAGTCTGAGATGAAGGGGATCCCCAGCTCCAAGACTGACGTCGACGCGTCCTGCAGGTGGGAGATACTAGTGTTGGTGAAGCTGGGTAAAGATTTAGGTAAAGGACATAATTGGGAGGCGAGGTTAAGGGGATCTTTAAATAAGCATTGCATTTATTATTAGCAGCATCTAGGCCGAAAAACTAAACTTAGTCCAATAAAGGGTGTTTCAGAAATTTGGGAGGTGGTTCAAGCATCCAAAGGTACATGGCCAAAAATAGTCACCGTTTTAAAATGTATATTGTTTTCGTGACAAGCCATCGAGTAATGTTACTAAATAATTACTTACAAACCAAGAATTAATAGCTTTCAATTACCTTATAGCATACATTAAGTTACATCGTCTGGTTAATTACATACTTCTCACTACCACATATCTATTGGCCTTGATGGCCTTTTGCTATTGCTCCAGCTTTACTCCAATTCACCCGACTCAGCACCATGTATCTTAAAATGTGTAATGTCAATTACAAGTGCTGCCTTACTTTTCGTTGATAATTCGAATAAATATGCGCTCCATCATGATATTTATGTTGACGATGCCTTACGTAGAGTCTTTGCATTCTACTTTCGAGATTCGTGGTTACTTGTTTACAAACTTTTATTATTTGCTGTTTTTATTAAACGTAATGTAAATTTGCAGTGCATTCAAGATAGGCATGGGATGCATGGACACGTTTGCTAACACGTGTCTCTCCACAACAGACAGACAGACATTAGAAGCTCATGTCGCTGGTGCCAGACACACGTTCAAGTTCCTCTGTGATGACCCTGTCTTCCAGTCTGGTAAGTTACATTTAAGATAGGCATGGGGTGCATGGACACGTTTGCTAACACGTGTCTCTCCACGACAGACAGACAGACATTAGAAGCTCATGTCGCTGGTGCCAGACCTACGTTCAAGTTCCTCTGTGATGACCCTGTCTTCCAGTCTGGTAAGTTACATTTAAGATAGGCATGGGGTGCATGGACACGTTTGCTAACACATGTCTCTCCACGACAGACAGACAGACATTAGACGCTCATGTCGCTGGTGCCAGACACACGTTCAAGTTCCTCTGTGATGACCCTGTCTTCCAATCTGGTAAGTTACATTCAAGATAGGCATGGGGTGCATGGACACGATCGCCAACACATGTCTCTCCACGACAGACAGACAGACATTAGACGCTCATGTCGCTGGTGCCAGACACACGTTCAAGTTCCTCTGTGACGACCCTGTCTTCCAGTCTGGTAAGTTACATTCAAGATAGGCATGGGGTGCATGGACACGATCGCCAACACATGTCTCTCCACGACAGACAGACAGACATTAGACGCTCATGTCGCTGGTGCCAGACACACGTTCAAGTTCCTCTGTGATGACCCTGTCTTCCAGTCTGGTAAGTTACATTTAAGATAGGCATGGGGTGCATGGACACGTTTGCTAACACTTGTCTCTCCACGACAGACAGACAGACATTAGAAGCTCATGTCGCTGGTGCCAGACACACGTTCAAGTTCCTCTGTGATGACCCTGTCTTCCAGTCTGGTAAGTTACATTTAAGATAGGCATGGGGTGCATGGACACGTTCGCCAACACGTGTCTCTCCACGACAGACAGACAGACATTAGACGCCCATGTCGCTGTTGCCATACACACGTTCAAGTTCCTCTGTGATGACCCTGTCTTCCAGTCTGGTAAGTTACATTCAAGATAGGCATGGGGTGCATGGACACGATCGCCAACACATGTCTCTCCACGACAGACAGACAGACATTAGACGCTCATGTCGCTGGTGCCAGACACACGTTCAAGTTCCTCTGTGATGACCCTGTCTTCCAGTCTGGTAAGTTACATTTAAGATAGGCATGGGGTGCATGGACACGTTCGCCAACACGTGTCTCTCCACGACAGACAGACAGACATAAGACGCCCATGACGCTGTTGCCATACACACGTTCAAGTTCCTCTGTGATGACCCTGTCTTCCAGTCTGGTAAGTTACATTCAAGATAGGCATGGGGTGCATGGACACGATCGCCAACACATGTCTCTCCACGACAGACAGACAGACATTAGACGCTCATGTCGCTGGTGCCAGACACACGTTCAAGTTCCTCTGTGATGACCCTGTCTTCCAGTCTGGTAAGTTACATTTAAGATAGGCATGGGGTGCATGGACACGTTTGCTAACACTTGTCTCTCCACGACAGACAGACAGACATTAGAAGCTCATGTCGCTGGTGCCAGACACACGTTCAAGTTCCTCTGTGATGACCCTGTCTTCCAGTCTGGTAAGTTACATTTAAGATAGGCATGGGGTGTATGGACACGTTCGCCAACACGTGTCTCTCCACGACAGACAGACAGACATTAGACGCCCATGTCGCTGTTGCCATACACACGTTCAAGTTCCTCTGTGATGACCCTGTCTTCCAGTCTGGTAAGTTACATTCAAGATAGGCATGGGATGCATGGACATGTTCACCAACACATGTCTCTCCACGACAGACAGACAGACATTAGACGCCCATGTCGCTGTTGCCATACACACGTTCGAGTTCCTCTGTCTTCCAGTCTGGTAAGTTACATTCAAAATAGAAAGTGACAAACGTTGAAAGGTGAAATAACAATACCATTCGAACTTAAAATAGAAAGACCATCATACGTCTGCTACAGGTAGTGCCAATAATGGAATCGGCAGATGCAAATAAGAAGTATACATACCTCCCCTTTAAAAAAAAAACTACCAAAATCATCCAAAACCACCATTAAATGTTCCAGAATACCTGAAGTACACATCTTGCTACAAGGCCATCAGCAAGGACTGGGACAACTGCGCCAACAGGTTCGTCAGTCTTGTCAGAGAGGAGGTGGCGAGGAAGAGCTACACCATGGAGTCTAGACTGCTGGAACTCTGCTGGTATGTAGCCTTTTACATATAGCCTGTTATGAATAAATCTAAAAGTCTCTTAATAACATTTTGAAACTCATATAGAAATGTTCAGTCGCAGCTCAGAGATAGTATGTTTACACTGAAATTTAAATATCACCTTCTAATATCACTTGACATTCTATTATATTCTGCACACATATAATCGCATCAAGTGTACAATTTGTTTACTCTCTACTCTAGTTCAATCTTAAAAGTTGTTCATTGGTTGTGACAGCAGTGGACTACATAAAAGATTCAACATCTTAAAAGCCTACTGTTACAAACCCTTCTGTTTCCAGTGCAAGACACGGGTTCCTCAAGTGCGTGTACGTAGCTGCTCGGCTAAAGTGCAAGAAGGAGGAGGCTCTGTTCATCAAGAAGATCGCTGACACGTTGTCTAACATGCGTGTGTACTCCAAGCACTGTCGCAACGTGGACGTGGCGTTTTGTGGATCAGCTGATCGTCCACTCCTGTCAGTGCTGCCTCTATTGCTACTCTGGACATTGACCTTGGTCAAGTGAACACGTTGTAACGTGGCGTTTTGTGGATCAGCTGATCGTCCACATCTGTCAGTGCTGCCTCTACTGCTACTCTGGACATTGGCCTTGGTTAAGTGAACAAGTTGTAACGTGGCGTTTTGTGGATCAGCTGATCGTCCACTTCTGTCAGTGCTGCCTCTACTGCTACTCTGGACATTGGCCTCGGACAAGTGAACAAGTGATATCATAACTTATGTACATCATGTAAATACCTGTAGATTATTTTAGTATTTACAAGTAATAATGTGATATTTCTATCGGTTGACTGTGTTTAGTGATTTGCCTTTGGAAACTAGATTTTTTATGAGGGGATTTTCCTGAAGGAAATAATATGGACATCCAAATATTTACTAAACAAGTAAATTATAGATTTTATTGAAGATGCAATTATGGTGTGTTTCAAACCTAAATGTGTGGTATGGTTACAGTAATGATTTTTGCTTTGTAATTGACTAAGTAGAGCTGGAACATTCTAAAATAATTTATTAAATCTTATTAAGTTAGTGGTCATAACCAAATTTACAAGGTTATCATGTAAATAATTTTGGCTTTTTTTAGCGAATTTCCCTATAGGGAAGTAGGAGGGGAAGTAGTTTTGGTTTGAAGGTGTAAGGCAGGATAAACTTGAATGAGTTCCCGAACCAGCATTATATAAAAATGGGTTTTTATTTAATTTTTTACCCTTAAAACGCAAAATTTATTAATTTTTCTCCAGACCTTTTTAAAGAGCTTAAAAAAAAAATAATTTAGTATATCAAAGTGTTTTTGTACGGTGATTGGTTACGGTTAAAATTCAAAAAATGTTTAATTTAAAATTCCCATGTTATTCTTATATTATAATATGTTGTAGTTGGCTTGTTAATGGTTATATTTTGATCAAACTTGGCGGATTTATTTATTTCATACTAAAATTTCATGCTATATTTTCGTAAAAACACACTTTATTAGTTTCCCTGTAGCAGCTAACCTAGGTACTCGTTAAACATAAATGTTAATTTAATAGATTAATTGAAAACCAATCCAGGCAAATGGAAATTCGCTAAGTCGGCAGGTTTGCTGCAGCGGGGGTATTTTACTAACATTTATTAAAATCATGTATAAAGTAGTAAATATTAATGAACCAAGTTATTTTATAGAAGGAACTCAGCGCACAATAGTGTAGTTTTGTTGTTAACATATGACAGTAATCAATATTTACTGACGAGTTTGTTTCCTACCTCCCAGCGAGCGTTCCATCAAATTAATGATGAACAGTTCTGATTAGATTATGTTGGATGTACATCAATTACAAGTTTGACGAACACTGGTGAAACATCTATGACGTTTTATTGAGATTGATAACTTTGAAAATAGGAAAACAGTGTAAAAGAGTAATAGTTAGGAACCTTGTAGTCGTTTAATTTTTATAAAGGTTTACTTCATAAACAAATTTTCCTCATATTCAATTATAAACTTCGGATCATACAGTTTTTATTCGTTCGAATGCGATCGGGTATGTAGGTGGTTTTATTTATACACAATCAAATCAAATTATGCATGCAAGGGTAAAACCTGCAGAATCCATTGTCACAACTCTTACTCAGTTAATTACACGATGTTTCCAAACAAACAATATTATATTAAACATTTGTTTTCCATTCGCCTAACATCATCAACTACCTAACTTCGTAAAAAATCACAATTTTTGCAGAAAAAAACTATTGTTTATTTAAAGGATTGCATCAACGTACGCTAGGGCTTTCAATGATAACTCGTATAGTAAACAATTAGTGTAATGTTACGGTTTTTGTTTGGTTTGAATTATTGCACCGCAGGGAATATTGCACGGGAAATTGGTTTCGGAAAAATAGTTAGTGGTCACGTTGAATAATCGTTATTGGCTGTGATTAAGGAAATTAAAATTAGTTTTAACTTAATCTGTATAATATGTTCGTATTTGATTGAATTACTTTATAACTATATATTTGTGATTGTAAAATCAAATGTCAGGCAAGAAATTATTTTCATCTATTTAAATTATTTGAAACTAAATTTTTACTCTTATTTAACTTTTAGTTACGTTCCATCATTGACTTTATATCTACACTTTACATCATCACTTTATATCTACACACATTGACTAAATATCTGTGTAGATATAAAGTCAATGGTTCCATTCTCTTTAGCATAACCTTACACTTTAAAAAAAAATATGGTAGAAAATCTGTAAAATTGTTAAGGTTTTTGCCAAAGCGAAACCATGAATATATTTTAGCCCCTGAGGATTCATCTTTGAACCCAGGTACAAATAACGTGAGGTTGTGTAAATTAACTTCGTAAGTACCCGATATACAACAATTTCTTTCTCCACTCATTATTCACTTCTAATCATGCCCTATAATGTACTATACAATAGGCTATGTAATTGTGAACGTTATGTGGTGAACTGTATTTACCTGTTGATGAAGACTTCTGTCGGATTTATAACTAACTCCAATTTGATGTTGACAAGGATTTCATAATGGGTCTTTGACCCGAAACTAGTCATCCCTAGACTAATTTAAGATGGAAGACGGACTAAGTGACGTTACTTATTATATATTCGAAAACAGTCTTGGTAGCCAAGTTGTTTAAATTTTATAATAAACTGTTGAATTCTATGTAATCGATCTGTACATGAACACTCATTTATCTACTGATTTATACGTACACCGATCAATCATTTACCCACCTATTCATCTACTTATCTTTCTATCTAGTCATAAAAATCTAATATGATTTGTAAATAAAAAGTATGATAAGAGGTAAGACTTTTCGATGGGAATCTTCACGTCCTAAAGACACTAGACTCTAGCACGAACTTTATTTACACGATACGTCAGGCTAGACCCAGAGGGTCGCGGCATTATCACTTGGATAAAATCCATCGGTGATATTAGGGATTAGAACCCGGGACCTCCAGCTCCAAAGATACCAGCCCCGTGTTCTACCACTATTCCAGCTCGCTCCCCATAGGTAAGACGTTAAAAGATAGTATTGATATAAAGAAGGTTATAGCATAGTCAACAGTGCTAAGAATAACTAGTTGATTATAAAAAATAGCACATATTTATTTGAATTACAAAAAAATTAGAAATTACTGTTTTATAACACCTTATCTGAAGATTTTACTTCAACAAACAAAAATTGTATATGAAACACTTTATATACTAGTCCATAGCGATTGTTTCACGATGTAGTTAAGTTAGTGTGGTGAATTTTACCACTTCAATCCCGGTTATTGTTTCACGATATTTACCTGTGGGGTAAGTTGTGTTTCAATAAACAAAAACCATCTCGTTCCCAGTTATTTGTGTTCTCCTGTTTCGTGATTTATTGTTCAGCAGTAAAGTAATTGTTTTTTGCAGATATGATTTTGTGTGTGTAGGTATGTACGGGCTTACTTTGTACTTGTAAGTAGGGATTAACCAATGATTTAAATGCAGTTATGACTTATTTTATGGCCCGAACTTCTAACATATCATAAATTTATGGATAAAATGTGGAGTTTTATGACCTCACACCTTTTTTCAGGAATAAATGACCCACAAATACCAGAGATACATTGAGTAAGAATAATTTTAAAACAATGTTGAACTGAATTCATATAAGCATATAACGCAAATTTCTCCATGGTCAATCATTTTTGCATTAACATTGTGCTCTGGAATCTAAATGAATTTGTGAATAATTTAATGAGGCGAGCGTGAAAACAGAGTATCTCGCGAATTTTTATTTTCCGTATTATTTTTATTATAATACCCATTTGTAACGAGTGTTATTTTTAACCACATGTATTATTTACATTGTGTATCAAACCATATTTCATACAATATAAACAATACATTTATGTTTGCACTTGAATGCTCTTCGGTTTTTTATTATCTACAAGTTAATATCTAAATTCCAAGTGCTTTTAGTGGCATTGCGAATGTTATTATTGTTATTTGATAAAGTTAAATTATTCGAGATCCTAGATCAATAGCTGAACCTTCAATGTAGGTGTTCAAGATTCATTTGTATTTATGAGGGATTTCGACGTAATACACTATCACTTGTATGGATTCTACAAAATTTTACTTTGATAGATGTATTAAAATTCAACTGAATATTATATTTATTGGATTTTGAAAATCACAGTAAAGTAACAGTTATGACAGTAATAACAGTTCCTTCCTACATCACACAGCAATCTTGAATCATGAGGGTATAAACTAATAATGCACATGGTAGTTCTGGAGAAAGATTTAATTATTCAAATTTAATTATTATTATTATTTAATTATTATTGTTCAGATTTATCGATTTGTAATTTTTAGTCTAATGTTTATTAGAAGCTAACTAGTGTACAAAGTCATTATACTACCAACAGCGTTTAAAGCTGAAAGTCTGTGTATTTGTTTGTGGCTCAATCACACATTAACTACTGGTCAGATTGGGAAGAAATTTTGCATGATGATAGCTCATAAGCCTTTTCTTATCTCAAAAGTCCTTTTGGGCCCCGCCCCAGTGGCTCTGAATAGTCCAGTCAAACGGATGTTAAACGTTACAAAAAATACTGCGATGGTTCTTTCATAATTCTATGTTTTTGGGTCAATGAATCCGAATCCGAATCTGAAGAGATCCAACAAAAATGTCTCGTGCATTTAGAGGAACACGTAAAAAACGATAAAATAAAATAAAATAAAACGCAAGAGGAATTTTTTTTCTCTTCAGATTCGGATTGAGTACCCCAAAAAACATAGAATCGTATAAGTTTTTTTTGTTTTTTTTTTTGTAACGTGAGGTAAATTTCCACGACGATTTGACTGGACTATCTGTAATGTTCCATGGCCTAAAACACTAACTAAAGTGCCAACTACCAACTAGGTGAGTTCAGTACTATTTTTTAAATTTTCTTTTTATAACCAGCTTTAGATAATGACAACACAAAAACAGAAGATATAAAAAAGTTAGAGGAACCTCTGGACTACGGATAACCATTAGCAAACCCATAACAGAACAAAAGGCTAAAAACATAGACTGCAATGAAAATTTCAAGTTAAAAAATAATTATGAAACTGCCAAGCATCAAGTTGTGTAAACTATTTTGGATTACATTGTAATACGGTGTTCATTTGTTATGTTGTTATCTATGGTTCACGAGTGGAGTCGCGGTTACAAGCTAGCTAATAATAAATGTATCAATAGC